ACACACACACACATACACCCATAGACAGTATTCATTGAATAAACGTGTAGTGTGAGGCAGTCTATTAGGTGTTACAGAAGTGAAACTACTTAGCAAACCTTGGGTTCAGCAGCATGGGTATTTTTTAAATGATAATAACTGCATAGAACAGAGTCATTACATTAAAATGATATAGAAGCACTTGCAAGAAAAATAAATAAAATAATCTCCACTGACGAGCAAACTACATTTAAATTGTGTGTGAGATTATTGATTTTTGTGAATGATTTTTATTGCAATATTTTATGTTTTAAATCTCCAAAAATTGTTGAAACATATGGCATACGGGTAATCCTTGACTTATGACCACACTTGGGACCAGAATTCCCAAGCTGGTTCTTAAGTGGGTCACAGTCAATTTTATTATCTTCTTTGCCTTGGTTGTTAAGTGAGTCACTGCAGTTGTTGAACGAATCTGGTTTCCCCCTGGGAAGGTTGCAAATAGCAACTACATGACCCCAGGACACTGCAACTGTTGTAAAGACATCTTGGTTGCCTAGCCCAAATTTTGATCACATAGCTGTGGGGATTCTTTAATGGTCATAAGAGTCAAGGCTAGTTGTAAGTTAATTTTTTCAGTACCACTATAACTTTGAGCGGTCAGTAAACAAATAGTTATAAGTTGAGGACTACCTGTACATCTTTATTTGAAACAAAATTAACTTGTTAATTTTGTACAGTAGTCTAGCAAAGGTGCTGCTCTGTTCTAATAAATTATATTGTTAGTCCAATAATCAAGAATAGTTTCCTATTTTACTATCTCAGCTGACAGAATGTTTAAAAGCGGTAAGACTTCATTGTGTCTCCTCCAGACCCCAATTAATTTTTTGAAACAAACTTGGCAAGTGAGATTTTATCTCATGTGTCTGGTGACACGACCATCATTAAGTGTATATCACAGTACAGTATTCAGTACTACTGCCTTATTATGTAATAATTTGATTAAAATAGATATAATTTTAATGCTTTCAAGATTGGGAACATTCTTGCATTGTACATTTAAAAAATTAAACTAATATAATTAAATCAAATACACTAATTACACAGAGAACCAAGGTGATTTGCAAAAGCTGAAAGTTAAATTGGGCATTGCATAATGTGTTCACAAAGATTTAGAAGCTGTATAATTTAGCTGTGTCTGTACATGTGTGTGAGATAGGGATGCAACTTTCCATTTTGATACACTAAATTTGGTGATCTGCTTAATTGGTAAAACTTGTTGGCAGCAATTTTGTTTTGTAAGATAAAATCTAATGTACCTAATACCACTCTTTGCACATCAATAAAATATTGATTATCTCTTCTAGGAATGTCGGATTGCGCACCCCATTGTAAAATGTACTTACTGCCGATCGGAGTTTCAGCAAGAGAGGTAAGTTAAATATATTAATGAACAAAGGATTGTTGAAGGAAAGTAACTCTGGAAATGCCATGCATGGAACTTAAATTCACATCTAGTTCTGCTTGCTGAGAATTCTTGGAATTGTAGCCTCCACACGTCAGGAAAATAACCTCGTTTTGCTTTCCTTTTAGCAAAACTAATACAATATGCAAGAAGTGCGCCCAAAATGTGAAACAATTTGGAACGGTAAGTTAACATCTTTAGTCATATTTGTGATTGCTAAACTATAATTGTCTAGATTCTTACACAAATTGTAGACATTTTACCCTTGTTCGTTTGAAATAATAGAGCAATTTTCTGAGATAGCAATTACCATTTTCCTTGTTTATGTGACATGAAGAGAGATATGATCCATGCATGCTGACAATTTATTAATAAACATAACACTGAAGGGATTGTTTGTTTTGAGGTTTTTGGAAGCAGATAAGAAATTTATGCCTGATGTAGACATCCAGATGAATGCAATTCTAATTTTATGAAACAGTTCTAGACACTGATTGGAATTATATGAGATGGAACTACTGAAACTCTATGTTTTCAAAGGGATTATGACCCATTATCTCTTGTTCCAGTTATAAAACATAATGTTCTTTTAGTGTGCAAGTATTTGATGACAATCTGTCTTCAGCCCCCTGTATAATTATATGATCTCCCCCCCCCCCCCCCTGAATTTTCAGTTCTCAACAACTTAAATTAACATATTTTAAGAGTTTCTAACCATTTTTTCCAGCCAAAACCCTGTCAGTACTGCAACATCATTGCTGCTTTTATTGGTACAAAATGCCAGCGTTGTACAAACTCTGAAAAAAAATATGGACCACCTCAGACATGTGAACAGTGTAAGCAGCAGTGTGCTTTTGACCGCAAAGAAGAAGGAAGAAGAAAGGTGGGCTTTGGTGATCTTAAATAAAAGTTTGTGGTGTAAAATTGACAGTGCAATTGATCTCAAAGCAACTGAGTAAAATCCAGCTTATATTCCATTCTCCCAAGTGAGACCTGAGTGTTTAGTTATGCTACTTAGTTTTACATTGACGAATATCCATAGCAATGACCAAATCTTGATATGTAAATTTAAAAGATCTCTCTGTTATCCCTCTTCCTTATGTCTTACATAACTAGATTAGTTAGCATTGTTGATCTGAAGTTTTCTAGAAGAAAAACTGCCTTTTATACTACATTAAAACAACTGCTTCCAAGTATTTCTAGAGAATTAATTTGCATATAAGGAATTTCTCTTCATAGGTTTCTGGGTTAGGGATTATATATGTTTATGTAACGCCTGATAGTAAGATAAATTAATTGGATGTTACGAAAGAGTGGACTACAAAAATAATCACATGAATTTTTTAAATAATACGTTAAGAGGTTCAAATATCAGTGTCAAAAGTTTGCCCAGCTACTATTTATGTGATATAGGTTATTGCAGTAAGCACTGAATTCTACATAGAGTATACAAGGTACTGTAGTGCTATAGCCTTAGGAATTCATCATGTATAGGATATACATAGAAGAGCCAGTTTATTTAGTGGTTAAGGCACCAGGCTAGAAAGCAGGAAGTTATGAGTTCATGGCCTTTGGCATGAAAGCCAGCTGGGTGACTTTGGGCCAGTCTTTCTCAGCCAAACCCACCTCACACGATTGTTGTTGTAGGGAAAATAGAACGAGGAAGATGTATTGGATATATTTGCCATCTTGAATTATTTGTAAAAATAAAGGCAGGATGCAAATTTTTAAAAATGTTAATTTGTTAAGCTCATACACACACACACACATATTCGTATTCTTGTTTATATTAAGATCTGTGTGCAAGAATAACAGCGGTAGTATTTGATAATTTTATTCTGGCTGTTGTGTGTCTTTTTAGCACTCAGTACGTGTAACATAACTTGCTGCGAATGATTTCCCAAAAGGTTGATGGGAAGCTGTTGTGTTGGCTTTGTACTCTGTCCTACAAGCGAGTGCTGCAGAAGACCAAGGAGCAGCGGAAGAGCTTAGCGCCCTCCCATTCTAACTCTTCTACGTCTATTACCGAGAAAGACCAGCATCATTTGAAACACCACCATCACCACCACCACCGTCACCCGCACCACCATCGCCACCATCATCACAGCGGCGCCCATCACAAGTAAGTGCGATGGGAAACTCTGAAATGGAAGTGGCCTTAAGGAGACATGTCCCTGTGGAAGGGGGTAGATTTAACTGATGATGATGATGATGATAATAATAATAATAATAACAACAACAACAACAACAACAACAACAACAACAACTTACCAAATTCCTTTGGTAAGACACAATTTTCAGAAATCAGATTGTGATGTGGCCAAAGCACATCCTGGTTTGGAGAACGCTGCAGTTGTCACCGGAGAACTTGGATCATATGCTGTAGCAGCGGTCTGTGTTGTCTGATGTGGGTGTGTGGGGAGGATGAGGAGGAGGGATAGTTCCATATGAGTGGTGGGTGACTGTACCCACACGCACAGGTCCATTTGTGCAAGAGGCAGACACCTACATCCGCGGCTTGTGCAAATGGACCTGCATGCAGTTACCTGCTGTTTATGCAAGTAGAGCTGCATGTGTGCTCACCTGTCGCTTCTTTGGCCTGGTTCCGAACAGGCTGTGGTCCGGTAGTGGGCCATAGCCTGGGGATTGGGGACCCCTGTCATATAGCATCTTGGTGTATTGGCCAGGAATGTGTTTGCGTGGAACACGCATACCTCAACCCATCCCAAGTGTTCTGGCCCAGCTCTCCAAACACAACAAACCCTCTGAAGTTAACTCAAAGATTCCTTTTATTAGGAGCACCAGCAGCCCCAGCAAAAAAATTCTCACTGCAGGCTAACAAGTCTGTCCAGCAGGGAGATGAATAGTTGTCTGCCACATCTATTCATCTCCGCCCCCCTGCCTTTTATCCCCAGAGCTAGGGTGGGGCTTCGCTAGCAGTAGTCGCTCTTCCATCCCAAGGACCGGCCCATGGATTTCCACTGCTCTCCTCTCCTCTGCCTTCTGCACATCCATGCGTCAGGCCCTGGACCCAGCTGTTCCTCCTCTTCCTCATCAGCCACCTCCAGATCTGGGGGCTGTTGTCTCTCCATCTGAGGTCTAACAGACGGCCCAGACTCTGTCTCTGTCTCTCTTTCTCTCTCTCCCCCTCCCTCCCTCCCAGCTCCATTATCTCTTCCCCCTCAGAGCTCTCAGGTTGCCTTGATGCTGACCCTGACTCCCACGCCTCCTCCTCTGATTCGGCTGCTGGAGGGGCCAGCAGGCCACAACACCAAGTCTTTTCAGTGTCAGGGAAAGTTCTAATCAAATTAATTAAGGTCCCAGAACTGAGCTCGTTAACTTGGTATTAGCCATTTTTTTTAGGGATCGTTGCAATGGAGCCAAAAGCAGCTCAGGAAGGGAGAGTTTGTTTAGGGCCCGTGTACTGACTAATGGTGAACATGCAGGTGAGAGGGACAGAGATGCTGCTGGGGTCATAGATGTGGCCATCAGTCACAGAGTTACTTTTCATCACCTTTGTAATGGCAAACAGTCATTGCCCATGGCAATCGCTAAGCGAGGGTTACTTGTAATGGCATGCAAGGCCACAAACATTGTCCGGCTCCTTATTAAAACACCCTGTATGTTTGCTTTCTTCTTTCTCCCTCCTTTCAAACCATTGTACTTCTGAAGTTACTGACTGAAGCCAGTTATTGGAATTCCACTGATAAGCTGGTTGAACGTTTCTGCATTTGTGTATTTCAGAATCGGCAGTCTGAGTCCAGAGGATGATCAGGGGTTGTGGAAGCAGAGGTAAATAATATTGAAAACACAACGCTTGTTTTGTGTCTGGATTGGAAACTATTTTTTTTGTTTCTATATAAAGAACGGTTGCTGGAACTGGGTCTGTCTAGTTTGATAAAAAGAAGGACTAAGGGGGACATGATAGCAATCTTCCAATATTTCAGCAGCTGCCACAAGGAAGAGGGAGTCAAGCTATTCTCCAAAGCACCTGAGGGCAGGACAAGAAACAATGGGTGGAAACTAATCAAGGATAGAAGCAACCTAGAACTAAGGAGAGATTTCCTGACTGTTAGAACAATTAATCAGTGGAACAACTTGCCTCCAGAACAGTGGTGGTATTCGACCGGTTCTGGAGAGCTGGTAGGAGCGGTAAGCAGTGGAGACTGAACCTTTTCTCTCCGTTGCTCTGCTGTTGGGCCCGCCTGCCCAACCAGGCTACCATACTCCCTTTTATCAGCAGAATTTGAAGCGTAGCTGCTTTGCGCGGTACAAAATAGCGCCACACAGCAGCTGCTGAAGCGACTGGCATCGTGCAGGCTTGCAGGAGGCGAGTTAGAACGTGTCTGCACCTGTGCAAATGCCTCTGCGCCTGCGCAAAGTGCATGTTTGGCGCACACGTGCATGCAAAGTGTGTGCACACACGCAAAGCACACCCACCAAGCCGGTGGCAACAATTTTTGAATCCCACCACTGCTCCAGAAGTTGTGAATGCTCCAACACTGGAAGTTTTTAAGAAGAGATAGATCAACTATATGTCTGAAATGGTACAGGGTTTCCTGCCTAAGCAGGGGGTTGGACTAGAAGACCTCCAAGGTCCCTTCCAATTCTTCTCTTTTGTCCTATACTCTTCTCTTCTTTCCCCTTATGAATTGTTAGATGCCAGCAAATGAAAAATGTAGTTACCAGAAGTGGTGAGGACAGAATTGCCTCACCCTTAAAATTAACAAGCTGATTGAGAACATAGCATTAGAGAAGAGAAAGTTAAAACTTTTGTCACCTGTATTAACTTTTAAGAAGATTTCACTGACATCATTGGAGGCTTTTTGAAAATCCTAATTGCTGAGGATCTTTTTTCTTTTCTTTTTTTTTTAGGGAGGGCACAAATAGCATGACATTAACAGTAGAATGTGCTTCAAATGTTCCTTGAGTGACATTAAGCATTAAAAAGAATTAGGAATGATGGAAATTTGTTTTTAAGAGTTGAGAGAAAAGCTAAGAGGACAGACAGGGCCTGATGCAGGGGAATCCTTGCCTCAGCTTTATAATATTTATAAATATATGATGAATTTATATTACGTACTGCTGCTTGCTATTTGGGGTAAATGTGGCTATATGACCATATGTCACACTATTCTTAATGTTTCTTTGCAGCCATAAATCCTCTTCAGCTATTCAGAATGAAACTCCAAAGAAAAAGCCCAAAATGGAAACCAAGCCATCTAATGGAGATAGGTAAAAATACAGATCTGAAATTTTTTTTCTGTTGAATAAAACAATGTACGAACAAGTAAAGTTCATACTTTCCCCATTTTTAAAAAAAACATTCAACATAAATATTATTTCAATTGTTGACACTTAGAGATTTCTACAAAGCTAGCCTAAATCTTTGCTGAAAATTCTGATACCAGGAATTCTTGGAATAAATGACCTAAACTTAAATCAGAAATCAATATAATGCAGCAATATGTAATGCAATATAATGACCCTTGTGGTTATTCTAAATACAACTGGTCTCTGACTTACGACTCTAATTGAACCCACAATTACAGTCATATGGCCATGCCCAATTTTTATGACTTTTTTTTTTGTGGCAATCATTAACCAAACCCATGGTTTGCTATGGGACGTTCAGTGAACCCCGGGTTCTGGCAAAAATATAAATTGTGGTCATGTGACCGATGGATGCTGCAAGTAGTTTCAGTGTCAGCTGATTTACCAAGTATGCAAAAAGGGGTCGTGTGACTATGAGGTTGCCAGAACTTCCAGTACTGGTCATAAGTTCCTTTTATGGCAGGGGTGTCAAACTCAAGGCCCAGAGGCTGGATCTGGCCCACGGGGTGCTTAGATCTGGCCCACGGAACCGCCCTGGAAATAATGAAGAACCAGCCGGCAGTGCCTCTGCCAGTGAAACCAGAGCAACCCTTGCAAGCTCCATTTTTGCTGGCAGAGGGTTGCAGGGGGCCATCTCAGCCAAAACGGAGCTCAGGAGCCCGTTTTCGCTGGCAGAGCATTTGGGCGTCCCTGACAGGAGTGACATCAAGCTGGCCATGCCCCCCTTGCCCCCCAAGGTCAAACATAACCGTGATGTGGCCCTCAATGAAATCAAGTTTGAGACCCCTGTTTTACAGGGTCTATCATAACTTTGAAGAGTTGCTAAGTGACTTGTTATAAGTTTTCTGCACATCGTATGTGAAAAATGAACCTCTTAGTTGACAGTTGTTCGTATATAAAAAATAATAATAACTGCTCCATTAAGGAAGTTTCTGACCCTTTGAAAGTCGATGCTCAAATATATGTGGTCTTTTTTTAAAAAACCTGTCAATTACCAGACGTAAAAATGGATAAAAATCTGCATACAATGGAAGAGATTACATGCAATGCATCTATATCATAGGTATGCTTGACTTCCAACCACAGTAGAGCTCAAAAGTTTTGTTGCTAAGCAAAGGCAGGTATTAAATTAGTCATGTCTTGTTTTATGACCTTTTGGCCGAGGTGGTTCAGCAAATCGCTATAATTGTTAAGTGAATCATTAAGTGAATTGTGTGCTGTTAAGCAAATCTGGCTTCCTTCTGTTGACTTTGCTTGTCAGAAGCTCCCTAGAAAGGTTGCAGAGGACAATCCCAGGACCCCAGGATATTGCAACCATTGTAAATACTTAGCAGTTGCCAAGCACCCAAAGTTTGTTCAGGTGGGAATGCTAAAATGGTCACAAGTATGGAACCGGTCACAAGTGACTTTTTTTCAGTGCCATTGTAACTTTGACCATAAAACGAATGGTTATAAGTCAAGGATCACCTGTATCAAGCAGATAAACATACACCCTTGGGATGCAGTTTATTCCTGCTTTTAGTTACATTTGATTCTCTTTATTTTTACAGTAGCTCTATAAATCAGTCAGCAGACAGCGGGGGCACCGACAACTTTGTTCTAATAAGTCAGTTGAAAGAAGAAGTCATGTCACTGAAACGCCTCTTGCAACAAAGAGATCAGACTATCCTGGAGAAGGATAAAAAGGTGAATGGTTTAGTCATTTGAGTAACTACTTTGGAAGTTTTCCGTCTGTATCTGAGAGTTGTGTTTGTCAGATATTTAAAAATGCAGCTAAACATCCAGACCCTCAGTGGGCTTTCCCAACCACAGCTAATAGTGCCATGCAGACATAGCCTCAGAAAACAGACTCCATGGTTTCCCAAGCAGTTTAAGGCCATTTATGTAAATTAATGTCATCTAAGTCAATTTATATAATTACTCATATAATGAAAAATGATGCAAATAGTCTTGAGTGGCTGCAAGAAAATCTATAAATAAGGCTGCACATTATAACAGATGGAGTGGTTTTGAAAGTTGTCCTGAAAATTACTTTAATATACAGTTTTTCATCTGGGAACTTTACCCCATTGCTATGCTTACGTTTGTTATACAATCAGCTTGATTATACACATGCTCAACTGAAGTGATGAGTTCTGTAATATGTCCAGAGTAAGTACTGTATAACACCTCTAGTTTCTTCAAATTTAGAATGATAAAGGGTTAATATTCCTCAAGTTTCTGATTCCTCAATGATGTATTAAAATAGTCTTAAAGTGGTTGCATAAATCAATAGGGCACAAGACATTTCAGGGGGGAAATAATCACTGCTTCAGCCAGCAATATTAGCGAAAGCTAACGTACAATATATGGCACGGTATGCTTCTAATGCCAAGAAAAACAGTTCACCAAACATTTTCAACAGGAGGTTTATATCAGAAGGGAAGTGAGGGGTAATTTCCTATCTTCCATCAAACTTGAGAACCAAGAAACTTCTTTTTGGAAAAGAAATAGGATTCAGAGGGAAGATGCCCTAAATTAGTAATCAACTGTGTAACTGACAAATGTACTGGATAAATTCAGGAAAAAAATTTGTGTGGATCTTAAAAGGATGACAGTTTAGCATGGAAGCACTAAAAAGCTTGAAATATTTTAGAAATTAAGCCAAGGAGTCTCATTAAAATATTTAAGCAGTTAGGATAATATTGGTTATGTAATTTTACAATATTCCTCTTTTTTTTTACCTCAAGAGTTTAAATGTATACCTACCACTTCATGATAGCTCAGACTTTTATGACAAGGCTAAAGTTTCAGGTAAATTAGAAAAAGCCTATATTTTAAAAAAATGTTTCTAAAACATTTTAAAGGACAGTGTATTTGGTTATAATTAAGAAAACTTGGAAAATTCTAAATCACTGTATTGTATTTTACAGATAAACTCGGCATCCTTTATATATACAGATAAACTACTGTATATACTCGAGTATAAGCCTAGTTTTTCAGCCCATTTTTTGTGCTGAAAAAATCCCCCTCGGCTTATACTCGAGTCAGATTCCCCTCTGAAAAAAAAATGGTGTGGAGTCACGGCCTCCGGCGGCAGCGACTCCCAACAGCCCCAGCCGGGAAGGGAAAGGCAAAAAGCGCTTTGCCTTTCCCTTCCCGAGGCGGCGGGACTGGGGCCGCGCCGGCGGTAGTGACTCCTGACTCAGGGGGCCTCCGAGGGAGGGGAAGAGAGTGACTCCTGCCTCCCGCTGTCATCATCATCTTCTTCTTTTGGGTTAGTGAATCAATTAAACCTTTCATGATAGTGAGATCGTTTCCCAAATTAATTATTTTTATTTTTGAAATTTACCAGTAGCTGCTGCATTTCCCACCCTCGGCTTATACTCGAGTCAATAAGTTTTCCCAGTTTTTTTGTGTGTAAAATTAGGTGCCTCGGCTTATATTCGGGTCGACTTATACTCGAGTATATACGGTACTTAATGCTGCATGATGTTCTCTTTTCTGGCCTTTAAAGCAGTTGAAGAAAATTGGGTTCTTTATCTTTAATCATTTATCCAGTAGACTCAGGAAATACGTATTGTTGATATTTGAGAGTGAGAGCATTGAAGTAACCAGGGACAGTATTATTAAAGAGATAATTTAATTCTTTTTCTCAGCTGACTGAGCTGAAGGCCGACTTTCAATACCAAGAGTCGAATCTAAGAACCAAGATGAATAGTATGGAAAGAGCTCATAAGGAAACTGTAGAACAATTACAGGTAAATGGTATTAATTTCACAGGCCATCAGTAACGCCTCAGAACATCACTGAATGAGAGCCAAAAGGCCTAAATTTTGAACCTGGTACTGTTCCATTTCACTGTATTACCCAAAAATCAGGAGGAGTCCGCTAACACCTTTCCTGATTTCATAAATGTTATTTTTCTTTAAAAAAAAAAAAAAGTTGGCATCTGATGAAGTGAGCTACAGTTCACAAAAGCTTGTGCCTTTTGATTAAATGATTTTATAATCATTGAATGATATTGATTAATAGTAATAGGTAAATAATGAAATGTGTTAATCTCAAAAGCTACTACCTTCGCTGTCTTAGAACGATATGATGAATTGGTAGTTTCTCCTTCAGACAAATCTTACCAGACTAAAGTACACTCTGCATTATTATCATATAAATGCTCTGAAGATTTAGGGAAGATCTTTCCTGCATATCAATGACTCAATGTTGATTTGTCTCCAATGTGGTACCACAGACTGGACGAACCAGCCTACTGCGTTGGGTTCTCCATCTCTGATATAGTGTTTCCTCCCCCTGAAATTAGGATTCATATAAATGGTGTATTTAACTGCACGGGTAGTTGTGCAGCAGCCTTTTTAATAATGATGTTAAGTTGGAAGCAAAGCCATTTTTAAGAAGAATCTTCACGTGGCAATGTAGAATAATGCAGATGGTACAAAATAACCAGGAGCACCGGCCATTTTGGGTTTTTGTAGGCAAAGAACAGAGAGCTTCTCAAACAAGTTGCAGCATTGTCAAAGGGCAAGAAGTTTGACAAAAGCGGGAATATGCTGACATCACCCTAAGAAGATGGCGGCAGTTTGCGTAGCTATTAATCTCAGAAAGGTAAATCGACTCCGGGGAAAATTCCGTAGAAACAAACCTTTTGGCGTGCAGAGTTGCTGGCATAGTTCCTGTATACCTTTTTCTAACTGAATAATGTTACAGAGGTTTGTTTTTGCTTTTTTTTTTCCCCCTGCAAATTAAAATTATTTGGATTATTAAAGTACTTCAACAGGTTTGAAGAAGGCATGCATATCTATATAATGCATACGTGCAGCCATGCAAAAGGAGGCAGATGGCCAGTCCCTGGTGATCAGTAAGCGTGCTGTCCCTGGTCATCACATCATGCAATAACACACACACACACACACACACAAGCCCTTCAAGAGGACAGCTCCCCCAGGTGCTCCTGTTGTGCAGACTGATTGCATTTGGTTGGACTTTAGCAGGTCGCCTGGACAAGAGCAAAAACTTGCGTAGGGAGCTGGACAAAGACCTCTGAGGACAACTTTCAATCTGATCTACATTCCAGCAGCAGCTAATTTGAAAACTGAGCAAGAGCACTGGAGATGTTGACCAACCTTTCTTGGTCTTTCAGTCCAAATAAGAGTGCATTGAGTTTTAAAATCATGGTGCTTTTTATTACAAGAAGCTTATTAAACCTTATAAATATATGTAAAAGATTTTAACACTTCTATTCTTAGTAATAACTGGTGTTTTGCATTTCCTGTTATAGAAAATGTAAGAGATTCTCTATTGTAAGTACCGGAACAAAATGTGTTTTTTCTTTTTTCTGAAAATACGCTGTAGACTTTTTCCTGCAAGTGCCTTTTCTCTCAACGGTTTATTTATAGGAATGTTGGTATTTGTATATACTTTTCTTTTTCTTTAACCATGTTTCAGCGTTCCCCTGTAGGTATATATTTATAAATGCATATACAGAAGGATCAAATGCTCAGATCAAATGGTTAGAATGATAGGGAAGGTGCTAAGTTCTGGCAGGCAATGAATTTTGGCTGTAGATACTGTAACAGATATGTCTGTGTAGAGAGTATTTGTCTTAACTCTTGCTGTGCCTAACTTAATGGAGGGAGGGGCTTTTAAACTGTCGGACTTCTATGAATAGATGAATTATTTTATTTCAGTGCTGATTTGCATTGTATTCTCAGTGATGTGTTCTTGATTGAACAATGACGGGACAATATTTGAGCTTAAAGTTCACTCTCCAGGTGTTTCTTTTAATGAGATTGCATTGAAATTTAATGCTGTTTCTGAACAGTTCTGGAAACATGGCTCGTTATTTCTACACAGTGAGAAAATAACAATTCTATCCTGCTAAGGGAATTATCCCACAGGAGTTCTGTGGCCAATAATTGGGAGCCTAAAAAAAGGAACCAAGGAGAAACCTGAATGCCTAACTGAGAATTTTTTTTAAAAAAAACAACAACCACCAGCTGTGTAGTCATAGAACCATGCTGGCCCTACAACCATGGCTCAGTCTTTGCAGTAACAGGATAATAATGTAGGCTCTGAAGCACCATTTGCACTAGAGGGATAAAATGAGATTAAACAGCACATTTTCTTTCCCAGCTAAGAATTTAATCAGACATGCCATAAATCTCCCCAACTGCATTTTTGGGGGACAGCCTGGGATTGTGTGGAGGTAGATCAGTAACCATAGAGACCACCATTACTTAATATCAGCTGTATACATATCTGTAGGAGTTTGTTGAGTGTGTTCTGCTTGCACTCTCAATTTCTTCAGGGCAAAGATGTCCCCCCCCCCCCAAGAATTGCACAAACTAATGCAACCTGGAATGTGTCTCCAAACCTTGTGTAATGCCCAGGGGTTTCTAGCACAGCGTTCTTCAGACTTGGTGACTTTAAGAAACGTAGACCAGCATGCTGTCTGGGAAATTCCCGGGCTTTGAAGCCTACACATCTTTAAAAGTTGCCGGATTTGAAAAAAGACTGCTCCAGCAGGTAAGCAAGAAGTGACTCTGAACTAAGTAAGTTGGAAATCGTGATTTGGATGCGTAGAGCTTAAAGACAGAAACCATGAGAATGAGGTAAGGCAGTGGCCCTCAACTTTTTGGCTGCCATGGACCGGTTCTGTGGAGGGCAGTTTTTCCTCAGGCCGGGGGCGGGAGGGGTTGTTTCACGTACTGCCTGGATCCTGTAGGTGCGCAGATGGGGCTTCACTCATTTGCGCAATCTGATTTTTAGCAGGCTAATCCGATTTTTAGCAGGTCCGCAGACATGGGGATTGAGAACCCTGGATGTAAGACACTAGAAAAGTTCATCGCCATTCCAGAAAAGAGTTTCTTTGACCTAAAATGTATTAGCCTAAACTTGTTTCTATTAAATGGAAAATCCAGTTGATAAAGGGGTGCTCAATTTATTATCACAGGAATTGCACTTCAGCGAGCCTTCGTGTTTTGGGGGGGCCCCAGCTACTGGTTTGGGGAGGGTTTGTTCCCAAGAGACTACTGAATAATTGTAATTTGAAAACACACACAAAAAAAAGCTGCTTTCTACAATACTGAGATTTTTTTTATTTTTTGTATACTAAAGATGAACTTTGTAAATTTATAAATACTATTTGCGAAGATTACATGATTATATAGATAGGGTAGAATATTCTTTTGCTATCCTGTTGAATTGCTTTATCATTCAGACTTTTTCTTTTTAATTGCTGACTTCCATTTCAGAGTATTTTGATACTTTTTCTGATTGAATGACTACCTGTCATTGGTGGACTTATTTAAAAAGAAATTGGTCAAAACTTTTCACAAGAAACGTAATGACTTTCTGATCAAGGCATTGTCACTGAAACCTGTTTATGCTGCAATAGGAACATTATATATAGAGGAAGAAAAAAATCCAACAGTCTGGTTTTTAAATACCAGAGCTGTGGGATATCCCATTTCAAAACATTTACAAGAGTTTTACTATGTCTAAAGAGAAAATATTTATTTTTAATTGTAGTGTTTCAAAGGCTGGAGATTTGAGTGGCTTTCACAAAGAGCTTGATGTTATGTAGACCCAAGATGACACACTATGGTTTTTGCATTTAAATCAATTCGGGTTTTTTTTTTTAAATAATTGGCATCAAGCAAGGGGAAAAAATCCCCTGGGCTTGAATTATTTATATACATTTAGCCTGTAAATAATTGCAATTTTTTTGTTTTAGTTAGAATGTCTATCTCCATTTTGAGGTGAAGCTTTTCATCTTAACTTACATTTGTATATTGTGTTGAAATTCTGTACTGGCACACATTTGACATTTTTGTACTTTTTCTAAATCCAATATTTCACAATAAAAGCTTCTTAAAACAGCAGTATGCTTGTCTTATCAGTAACTGCCTATTGGGTTCCAGGATTGGGCAAAGGGATAATTAGAATCTCCGGGTTTGATCAGCCTTTTCCAAACTGATGCCTCTATAAACCTTATATCTTCTAGCTAGCATCTTATAGTTTGTGTGTTTTACAGATTGCCTGTAATGGATAAACGTTTAAAATAATAAATGAGATTTGAAGTTATGATTTCAAGGTGTTCCAAGTATTCTGTTTAGTCCAGTGGTTTTTAACCTTGGGAACTCGAAGTTGTGGGGGACTTCAATTCCCAGAATTCCCCAGCCAGCATACTGGTTTGAGCATTCTGGGAGTTGAAGTCCACACACCTTAACATTTCCAAGGTTGAAAAACACCAGTTTATTTTATCACATTCTGGAAGTTAACTGCAAAAAAAAAAAAGTTTTATGGTTTTCGTATATAAGCTAGGTTCACATAGAGATGGAAAGTACCATTTAGCTCTTACTTAGTCCTGCGCTCAGGAATTTAATTTAAAACCATTTACAACAAAATACAAATAGTTTTTGTATGAACACATCCAAAGAAGAGGAACACTCATTGGGGTAATAGGTTCAACCACTACTTGTTCTTACTGCTGGGATTTACTTATAATATTCAGTCGCTTTGCCTATATCACTTAAAATCCATTGTTCAATGTCAGGTCCTCTAGAGCAGGGGTGTCAAAGTGGATTTCTTCAAGGGCCGGATCAGCATTGTAGTTCTCAGCGGGCTGGCCGGGGGCGGGGGGGGGAGGAGACAGGACGGACGCCTCCTGCAGCACCCTGCCGGCCAAAACAAGGTGCAGAGTGCTGCAGAAGGCCATCCAAGCCAAAAATGGGGCACGGGGGCACGTCCTCCCCCCCCTTGTGCCCTGTTTTGGCTGCCAAGAGGCACCACGGGCCAGTCCTTTGCTATTTCCAGGCTGGCCCTGCGGGCCAAATTTAAGCATCCCGTGTGTTTGACACCCCTGCTCTAGAGCAATAGCATTTGTCCCCATAGCATCCTTTTAGGTGTCAGCTATGGAATCGTGATTCATTGCTGCCACCTAGCTGGAGAAAGTGGGAGGGGGGGTTATGTTAATTGAGTAGCTCTTAGATAAAATATCATTCTTTTGATAGTTCAAGGTTAAAGCTTGTGGCGCAGAAAGAATCGGAACTTACTTTGGGATTGGTTCATGTGATGTGATGATGAGTAAAAAGGAGATGGTTTGTAGGTTGGGATAGTGTGGGGAGTTCGGGGGAAACTTTTAGTTTAGGAATTCCACAGAATGTGCCAGGTGCTATTCTAATAAAAGTACTTTGAGATTATGTTCGTCTTGGAGTTACTGACAGGAACGGATTTTCCCTGGAACTATGACATTAGGTATTTCAAGGGTGTTATTATATCATGCTTAGACTTCTTAACCAATTTTCTTAGGACTTAAAAATTAGTTTTCTAATTATCCTGTCCCACCCCTTTTTCATTTTACTTTATTTGAACATTTAAAAGTGCAACAAAGAAAAAAACAGTACAAAAAAAGATTTACAGAACTATATAAAATTGTGTAAGAATGTTCAAAATAGCACTAGATTTGTCTTGCGTATATAATGATCTTACATCAAAGTAATAATTTAAAACTGATATTAAAATCAAATCAATATTCAATGATTAACAAAGGCAGCCAATATTATAAAAATAATTAGAATATAAAAATTAATTAGACTTATCTACAGTATTCTGAGAAAATCTATCCATACCACGAATCCGGAAGATCTAATGTTATAAGATAAAGTCAAACTTTGGTTGCAGTACAAATCCATGTGCAAAGTTATAGACCAGGGGTCCCCAAACTTGGTCAACTTTAAGACTTGTGGACTTAAACTCGCAGAATTCTGGGAGTTGGTCCACAAATCTTAAAGTTGCCAAGTTTGGGGACCTCTGTTATAGACTATAACAGAATAGATAAGTAAAGACTATAAATTGTTTAGAAATGCAGTATAGGACTTGTTTTAAAGATTATTGACAGAGATGCATCATTTGTGTTGTTTCTGGTAAGAAACATTCTAGCAACTTATCACGCTCAGAGCCAATACTACTATGGAATCCTTGATACTGTCTGGGCTTGGTTGTTTGCTTGCAGATGTTTTATTACCTGACTAGGTACAATCAGTGCTAGTGAGTGTGGTTTTTATAATACAATAGCTGTTTATTTTACAGCAGCTTGCCCTGCCAGTTTTGATGGGGCTGTGGTTTTCTCCTTGATAATTCCTAGATTAAGATATTGTTTTCTGCTTGGTTGTCCATCCTGCTTGTCTGAGAGTAGGCTGCACGAGAGAATGTGTTCTGGACTTCTTGTTTCCTTCTTAACTTTTTTATTGTTTCTTGAACGATATGTAAATGTGGTTTATCTCTGTGTGTCCATTGATGACTGATGTGACTAAGTGCCAAGCTTCAAGGAATTCTCTTATTGTTTTTGGATTTACCTTGGTCTAGGAACTATCAAGGAGAAAAACACACCCATTAGTACTGATGATGTTACCTAGTTGGGTAAGCAAACAAGCAAGCAAGCTCAGAGAGCACCAAAGACATTTCAACCCTGAGCTACAAATACTCTCTTCAAAAGACTTAGAAAAGTTAGTATTTAAATTTTGTTTCTTTTTAGGATGAATCATCTTACAAAGTTGTTGAACTTTATAGCATTGGCATTAAATATGAAAAAAAATATGCATTTCCACCCATTTTTAAAATATGAATGACCTATTTTACCAATTAAAGCAAAAAATATACACTTGTACCATTTTTTTCTGTTGTAAATTTAACATTTATCTTCCATTAGTATTTCCGCTGTGGCCTGTTGATTAACTTCTGCATCCATTTAATTGTATGTTCTTTGACCTTTTTGCCTTGTGGATCATTTCGGTAACAATTTATAAATGAACTGGTGTAAGTATTCTGAATTTTGTGTTGCACGCTCTCCAAATTCGAACCGGTGTCTCCACGTTTTCTTCCCCTGGTTTTTTTTCTTCTTCCCCTAATTCCTTTTGAAGGATATTACTTATCTGAAGATACAGGGCCGGTGAGGTCCTTCTTTGATCCTGAAAAATCAAAGTACCCTTGAACTAGATTTTATGTGTTCAAGAGGGAAGTGGAACAACACAGAATAAGGTAGAATCAATTGGTCCCAATTTGTGTTGAATTGAGAATTATATTAATGTTCTCTAAAACTGCATTCACCGTTTTAATAGCTTGATGCTTGTTGATGCTTAATCTAAACAATTGCCATTCTAATACCTTCTTTATAAGTATGATGACCAAATCAGGCAATGCCCCTTCGATACCTTTCTGTTTGATGGCTCTTCGTCAGTCTGTAGTAAGTAACAATACACACACACCTAGCCCAGATGTCACAATTAGGTCAAAGAAGAAACACATTTTTTTTTTCAAAAATGTGATCAGACTCGTGTAGACAGAGTGAGAGAGCTGTCAAACCAGCTCTTGACATTGCCTCTTGCTTTCCTTTCTCAAGCTGTAAGCTTGCCCAGGCAAAGCAGGAAATTGCATTGACAATAGTTTGGGTGAAATATAAAAATAACTACATTTATTTATAAAGGAAATGTGCAATTTATTAAAGAAGTATACAACAAATTATGAAAACCCCTGGCTGAGGGTACTGTACAGTATCGTACGCATTTTTATATCCATCTGTAAATATAAAAACTACTCCCGGGTCTCCTCCAGATCACTAATACACAATTGAGACCAGAATTTCTATGGCCAAGCAAGATGGTGGTTAAACCATCTTTATACCCTTTTTTTGCCACTGTTAGGCTCATGTTCACATAGTCATTAAGTAAATCTGGCTTTCCCCATTGACTTTGTTGGAAATCGGCGAGCAATGTTGCAAATGGTGTACAAATGATCCCAGGCCATTGCAACTGTCGTAAACACATGCCAGTTGCCAAGCGCCTGAATTTTGATTACATAACTCTAGGGGTGCTATATGATGGTTTAATGCGAGGACTGGTAAATCACTATTTCCAATAGTGGTGTAACTTCAAACCATTGCTTTACAGCAGGGGTGTCAAATTCGATTTCATTGAGGGTCGCATCAGGGTTGTGTTATTGGGGGGTGGTGGCCAGCTCGATGTCACTCGAGGCTCCATATTCGGCCACAACGGCCTCCTACAGTCCTCTGTCAGCTAAAATGGAGTTCAGAGGCCGCACGCAGCCCGCCCAGGCTCCGTTTTTGGCTGCAACCGCTTCCTGCAACCCTCTCCCAGTGTAAATGGAGCCCGGGCTAGTGATGCACAGTCCTCCTGAGCTCCGTTTTTGCTGGTAGAGGCACCGCGGGCTGGTTCTTGCCCCGCAGGTCAGATCCAGCACGCAGGCCTTGAGTTTGACACCCATCCTATAAAGGTACGGTGTAATGGAGGAATACCTCTATGGAAATCAGGACTGTCCCCAGTGGCACCTACTCAGTACCTATCTTCACTTTGACAAGGACCTTGCTTAGGACACTCCAAGTACAACTTTATGCCTATTTTCCATTCAATCATAAAACCATCTGACTCACTTCTAACCAGCTTGCTCATTTAGAATCTCTTGTCAAATGCTTCACTGAGTTGAAGATACATTCTACAGAATTGTATTCAGTTACTAAGGAAAATTACCCAGCGTTAAATGGGGTATAGATTATCTTATGCTACATAGGCTGTCTCAAGGATGTCCAAAGTCAAGATGGCTGCTGAAGTGATAATAGTTAGAGATGATGTAGAAATAATAGAGATGAGGTCTAGATCTAGATATCTAAGTAACTATATCTCTGCCATCTATTTTTTCCCATTAACTAACCAACTCTAGAGCATCTATCTATCTATCTATCTATCTATCTATCTATCTATCTATCTATCTATCTATCTATCTATCTAAACTCTATATCAGGGGTGTCAAACTCAAGATCTCTGGCCCACTGGGCTGCCCTGGAAATAGCGAAGGACCAGCCCACGGT